GAGTTTATAGCCAGTGAACGGGAAAGAACACTGAAAAGACAGAAGTAATGTCAATAGGAAAAAAGAAGACAGATCTAAACATAGCAATAGAATACAAAGGCATTAAACAGGCATCTGAGTTTAAATATCTGGGAACTACATTTACCGAAGATGGGAAATTGGATACAGAAATTAACATTAGATGCAGTAAAGCAAACCAAGTATTGGGACAGCTAGCCCCCCTCTTACAGCATAAGACAATCCCAATCAGCACAAAGAGACATCTTTTTCAAAGCATATTTATTCCAACTCTGTGCTACCAGTGCCAGACATGGTCACTCACAACAAACAATAAAAGAAAATTAGTAACCATGAGAAGGGCTGTAGGAGTGACCATAAGAGATAAGATCAGGAATGAGATCATAAGAGAAAAAGTCGGCACAGAACCAATTCTAAATTACATAAAAAGGCAGCAAGTGAAATGGTTTGCCCACTTAGAGAGAATGCCTTGTGACACCATACCATACAAAGCATACATGGAAAGAGAAAAAGGACTTAGAGCAAGAGGTAGACCAAGAACAAGATGGAAGGATAACATCAGATAAGCTCTACAACAGCACGATGTGCCTATGGTCGAGGCGGCCAGAAGAGCCAGAAACAGAACCTTATATCTCCCTCGACACCCACAGCGATAAAAGAGGAAGTGAAGAAGAAGAAGAGGAAGAAGAAGAGGAAGAAGAAGAAGAAGAATAAGAAGAAGAAGAAGAAGAAGAACGGGAAAATGACGTACCAATTGTAGGATAGGTCAATCTGGCAGCTAAAATCAGCATTTCCCAAATCGAACTCAAGACTTTCGTGCCGACTGGCGAGTGTCGAGCCACTACGCTACTGGGCTCCAAACAGTATAGTATATAGAATACTAAAATGCACAAAACAGTTACAGTCGTGGAAGTATACAGATAAAGTAAACACGAAACATTTTTTGTAATCTGATCACAGTGATTATTCAGAAAAAGTGTACGCGTACTTGGTCTACAAAATTTACTTACTACACCTATCGACTGATACTTGTTATACTCTAATATCTTTGCGTGTCCTGGAAAGTTGCTACATTTGTTGTTGTTTTTTTTTCTCCTTCTCCTCCTTCTACTCCTCTGTGTCTCCTTCCTACTTCTGCTCCTCCTAATCCTCATCCTCTTTCTTCTTCTTTTTTATCTTCTTCTTCTTCTGTTTCTTTTCTTCTTCTTCTTCTTCTTCTTCTTCTTCTTCTTCTTCTTCTTCTTCTTCTTCTTCTTCTTCTTCTTCTTCTTTTTCTTTTTCTTCTTCTTCTTCTTCTTCTTCTTCTTCTTCTTCTTCTTCTTCTTCTTCTTTTTCTTCTTCTTCTTCTTCATCTTCTTCTTCTTCTTCTTCTTCTTCTTCTTCTTCTTCTTCTTCTTCTTCTTCTTCTTCTTCTTCTTCTTCTTCTTCTTCTTCTTCTTATTCTTATTCTCGTTTCCCAGCTGTAAACTCCGGTGGAAACATTATCGTTTTTAGTCCGCTCTGTAGCTTTGGTCTTTTTCCAAAAGTTGAGTTTTGCATTCACATATTATTTACAGATCTGCCGTATTTGTATGCAGACTGTTGGTTTCTTACCTCGATGGCAGTTGCACTTCATTTTCGAAAGACGACTCATGGATTGGGACTTCTACCCTTAAATAGTCGCCTTTCACTATATTCTGCCCTGAAAAAACTCGACAGCATCCAAAGCCAAGCGCTCGCGACTATTGTAGGCATTGGACGAAGTGTCTGCAGAGAAGCTATGGAAGTCGCTCTAGGATTCCCCGCCCCCCCCCCCACCCCCACCCCTTTAAGCTGGGAAGAAAACAGCTATCACTTAACTACTGGATACAGCTATCACTTAACTACTGGATGAACACAGGCCTCCATCCTGACCACCCAGCCACCAAAGCCTGTATGCCCAATCAATACCCATAGGAATGTAATACGACGCCCATCCAAAAGTTCAGAAGGCCGACAGCCTGGCTCACCGCCAGGGAGTTTGAGTACGTGGACAAAACGGACGTAAAAAGGCAACACAGAAAATTCTCCCGGACTGTGCCTCCGTGGGAACTTATTCTACCGACAACTGGCACCAGCCTCACTAAACTAATTTTCTGAAACACAGAGCCCAACGAAGCTAGAAGACTAGCCGAAAACGCAGAGCCCAACGAAGCTAGAAGACTAGCCGAAAACACAGAGCCCAACGAAGCTAGAAGACTTACCGAAAACCACATAAACATCCAACCGGCTGAATCCCTAGCGGTGTACACAGACGGGTCGAAAAACGAGAATGGAGAGGCTGGTCCGGCGTAGTCCTTCCCACCAGAATGGTAGAATCGAGTTACAGACTACCTGACAACACAACAGTATACACAGCTGAACTGGTCGGTATCTTCACGGACTCCCTGTCATCAGTGCAGGCCCTGAAAGAGCTCAACAAATGCAGCAGACCTGACATCAAGAAGCAAATCTTAGTAACGAACACTAAACTAAAACAAAAGGGATGCGAAGTATCAATTAGCTGGAAACCAGCCCATAAAGGTATTCCAGGTAATGAGTGGGCAGACCGGGCGGCCAAAAAAGGGCTACAGAGCCTGCTCATAGTAGATGTCTGTTCAGGCAAGGAAGAGTGCAAATCCCTTATCAAAAATTACATCCACGGCGAGTGGATTTTGCAATGAAAACATAGCAAGAAGGGGAGACACGCTTTCAGAACACTAAAAGAACCCAGCTTAAAGTCCCAGATCAAGGAACACACCATAATTCCACTAGTCAAAAAACTGGAGACTAAGGCTGGGCGTCTGGAAAGATAAATCTAGCAGCCCTATGTGTACTGAATGCTGGGAGTACGACACCACCAAGCACTATCTGTTATCTTGAAAGAAGTATGATAACCAAAGAAAGGAACTGATTAATTACTTCCAAGCCAGAAACAAATGACTACCAGAGCATGCCTCCAGGTCGAAAACTGCCCCGCAGTACAGAAAATTATTAAACAATTCATAAGCAGAACGACGAGCTGGGAAATGTATCCGGCATAAACGAAGTAGACGACCGACTATACTTCACTGAAGCGGAACCAAACAAGGCGACCATCAACGCAATAAAATCGCAACGCTAAGCCTAGCAAGCTATCAGTCTCCCTCACTCTCCCGACCTAACTTTATTTCCTAAAAAGCCTCCCTTTTTCCAAGCACCCTCCGGGCTTCCTTTCTATACACCCCATATTTCTTTATCATTTTCGGCAGGAACAAAACCTGCATTAAAAAATTGGAAGAAAAAAAAAGGCTAAAACAGAAATGCTCGACCATTAAAAAAAAAGGCTAACGCACAATCACATGCATGATGCGAAAAAAAGCACCAAAAAGATGTTAAATGGGGGTCCCTGAAAAAGGCCTTGTGTGAGGCTCGCTCGGTCACCGACTTGTCGGCTTCAAGGTGGTGTTACAGGTGATGGCTCAGGCACAACCAGTGACGGCACGCATGCAAACCAGCAAAAACCGCGGAAGAAAGCGCAGAAGCCAAAAGGCTCTAGTCGGAATAGGAAAGTCGAACAAAGATGTGTGAACAATCTAACGCCAAAAGGATCAACCTAAACACAGCACAGAAACAAGGACGCAATTAAATCCAAGGCCCAGTGGCAGGCTAAAGCTGTCAAAAATGTGGTTTAAAAAAATAATGCCCGAAAGCAGACGGGAACTGCATTTGTGACCTATAAACATTTGACATGTGTGTGCGTGTTTTGTTTGTGTATGTGTCTGTGTGTTGTATATACGTCCCTGTTGTGTGTGCGTGTGTGATATGCGACTGTAATTTTTACTGTTCGCTGACTACACTAAATCTAACGCATTTTTTTAATGTCTTTTTTTAAAAATTTATATACAATCCTTGTGGAAATAACTGATATCAGTTTTCTTCTGGGCTCATAATTAATAGACAATCGGCGCTTGACTGGTGTTGTGGACAATATCATACCAGGGGCCTTTACTTCTCAGGATTTTACCTGGTACTCATTAAAGGCTGGGTCGGCATAGGATCCTATGCCATTTCACAGACACACGCACACACACGCACGCACGCACGCAAGCGCATGAACGCACGCACGCACAAACACACACACACACACATACACACAATAAAACAAGAAAATCAGTCTTAAACTCTGGACTTTGCATAGACCATCACAGGTCCAATATCCGTGAGGGACTTCGAACAACCGAAAACGTCCCTAAGCTTTATTACGGCACTGCTACCAGTTTATGTCATAGGACACGCTGTGGTGTAGCGACAAGACGCCTCGCCTATGGTTTAAATCTTCTTTGAGTTTCTTAGAAAAAATGGCATTGGCTCCAAGGTCAGCCAAGTCTGAAAGAGGTGCCCCCTAACGTCATGAGAAGTAAAAGCGGCCAGCCGGATACTGACACACCCACGTAGAGTGCCGATTGGTCTATGACAAAATCAGTCCAGTTTCATATGTCCGATATCCCACTACAGTTAAAAAGAATCATTTGCTTTACTTAACCGCTATACATCCCTACCAGTTTATTTAGTTTCTGTTTGATTCATATTGATATATTCTTTGTTTGTTTGTTTAAGTATCAAGAAGCCATGAGTTGTTAACCCTTAGGCTCGGTATTATGGATATCGCAACCTTTCGGCCTTGATTACATTGTAAATACCGTAAATCTGGGAGAAAATGTGGCTTTCCTGCCTACCCCCGGGATTGAACCCGGACCACAAGGAGCTCGTCACCCGGTCTCCGCGCAATCCTGTTTAGCCAATTACGATAGATATATTCTTTCTATAGTGATGTCACATTAGCATTTGGCAAAATAGTTTGCATGGCAATGAAACAGCAGGCAATTCCTGATCCACAGTACAACCTTATGACATTTTTATAGGTATAGACCCAAGAGATACACTGCATATTTACTATTTTAAACTATCTTGCTGACTCACTTTTTTTCCTCTCTGTTCAATAGGCAGGCAAGAGGGGCACCTTTGTTGTTGGACTAATATTCATAGCCCTGGGCACTGGAGGTATCAAAGCGAATGTGGGTCCTTTTGGAGCCGAGCAAGTAGAGTCTCTGGGTCCTAAAGCACTGAGGTCGTACTTTAACTGGTAAGACCATCTGCTACAGTTGTTTTCAACCTTCCTAGTGGCGCGACACTTTAATACAGTTCCTGATGTTGTGGCGACCCCCAAGCATACGATTATTTTCGTTGCCACTTCATAACTTAAATTATAACTGGTTTGTTTTTGTGATCTTTGTGAAAGGGTCCTGCGACCCCCCCCCCCCCCCCCCCCCCCCCCCCCCCCCCCCCCCCCCCCCCCCCCCCCCCCCAAAAACACAAAAAAGGGTCACGACCCACATGTTGATAACCGCTGATCTAGTAGTAAAGAAATTAAAGAGTTCTGATCTGGATTATCTTCAGGCCACTCTAGACACGCCATCGGTGCTTGTATTCTTCCTTCAGAATATACATCAGCGCCCGGCAGTACCTACTGAAAAACATATGTTGGCTGCTAAGACTTAATGTACATCCTGACGCGCCTCTTGTGCCTGACTGTGCCGATTTTTTAACTTCAGATCCTGACATTTTTTGCTGCGATATGGGCGGGCTGTCCCAGGTTCTAACTCCCTAAGGGCATAATAACAATGTCAGAGGAATCCATATGATGGCCGACTTCAATTAAGGCAGAGCTGGTTAACCTGTCAGCTCTTTCATTACCAGCAACGCATACATACTGCAATATTGATTTAGAATATACAGATAATTGCCAGTATCTGTTTGTCACAGATAGGACGGTGAGCTTTACGCACAAACGCATGCGTACCTGCATGTCTGCCATCAGCTATAAATATATTTTTTTATAGACTGACGCTGTTGGTCTCTTTGGCGGATGTCTTATGCATTTGATGGGCGTGTGAGTTGATTGATTTTACCAGGAGTGCTGTCTGTTCGACTGTTCAAATGTAACATTTATTGGCATATTGCATGAGTTGACCCTTTTGTGATGAAGTTAGAAACTGATAGGATGATAGCTTGAGAAGCAGAGATAAATGGACACGATAAACAATACAAAACTGTTGTTACGATGACAGACCTGGCTAATGATGGAGCACTTATGGGTCACTACCTGTATGCTATGGTGTTGACCCATTGTTCAAACTTCAAACTTCAAATTTCATGATACACATTAGCAAGAAACGGACACTGATCTTTGGTAACTATACATAAGCTCTGTGATTTAGTTAAACCCCAATTGTATCAGCAATAGGAATACAACTTGAGATAGTTACTATATATATATATATATATATATGTGTGTGTGTGTGTGTGTGTGTGTGTTATAGTTATGCCCCCCCCCCCCCCAAAAAAAAACAATTATTATCAAGATGTAGATAAAAATGTTGACGACGAGGGAAAGGGGTAATACACATTTTTCACTATTTGTTAACAATAGGTCATTTTTGTGTTCCTAGGTTCTACTGGGTGGTTAACGTTGGAGCCTTCATTGCATATGCTGGTGTGGCTTACATCCAACAAAACATCAGCTTTGCCTGGGGTTACTTGATTCCTTGTCTGAGCATGATACTTGCACTGTTCATCTTTGTTATTGCACGTACAGCCTACGTCAAAACAGAACCTAAAGGTACATACAGTTAAGAAATCCCATGAATGCATGATTTTGCACTGATATAGGTTGTATTGTTAATACGAGTGGGTGTATCACTGATGGCTAGATCTACAGAACAGTTATTGCCAATATGGTTTTTTGCCAAAGTCGTCAAGGATTCATATCCCCTTCCCAAGTAAATTGCGTTTGAACACTGAGGTCTCTCAGAAAATTATTACCCGAAAATAATAAGCCATGTTGACATTTTTGAAGTAGAAAATTGCTCCTTTCTTATTTGTTTCATGACAAATAACAGCCATAAACATTCATTTAGGTGAAAATCGCCATTGCGCACTTACTTTGGCGTCGTACCAGCGATATAAACTGATAAAGTTGAAGATTATAACAGTCATGTTTCAGCAACCTACTGCATATGATTTAAATGTGACATTTATAATAATTTTCTCTAGCCCGCTGGGAAATTTGATATCCAGTAGTTGTACACGAGCTAATTGAAATTTAGAATAGATACCTATTATTCATTGAAAATTAGTTGTGTCTCTTACCATGTGTCCCAAACAACGCTATTTGTCTTTTTGACTGCTTGTAGTTTTAAATATTAAAAGAAAGGATTCTCTTCACACCGGTGGGGACTTGGGCATATGATGCTAAAAAATCTTAGTCTCAGTCTTTTCAACTATACTTCAATAGGGTAACCTCATTCTTGCTCCGATCGTGTGCCAGTGAAAAAAAATGACATATTCCCCCCACTAGCCCATTTGAAAAAAAAAACAACTGGTGAACAAAACAATTAGTCCCGGCACAATCCAGAAATATGCCCACTCAGTAAATGCATATGACAGTTGCTATAAGCCCCAAAGCCAACGTCGTCACTAAAAATGCAGTTTGTCGTTGAAGGAAGTAGTCGAGCACAATAAGTTGGCTATACACACGTAGAATTATTACACGCAGTATTTCACTAGCCCACACGTAAACCGTCTAGCGGTCATATTGAATACCAAGATACCTCCGCTGTACAAATAAGAGGCATTCCACGCGAAAAACGCAGCTCACAGGGCGGCACCAAGCACTAAACTCAGTGGCTTAGAAAGCTATTCCGTAAACAATAAGTGGAGACTGTTGGCTACTTCCGCTAGCCAACAGCAGGTTGCACGTGGTCGAGCTTTGGGGCTCGATCGGTCATTTAAACGTCCTAGGACATTACTAGATATCTGTTTTAGGCTAGTTGGATCTGAAAACCAATGTTATTTTCTAAGCCGACCTTAGTTGATTCAAACCCATGACATTGAGATAGCGAACAGCCACTTCTATATTTTTCTACATTTATATAAGAAATTATCAGGAGGGCATGACAACTAAACATTCTCGGATTTGGTGCTTTTTTTTCAGGCAGTGTATTGACTGACGTATTCAGAATATGTAAACAAGGTGCTTGTAAGGTGAGTCTGATTGACAGTCTCATAAAAATAATATTTATCTGCATTGATTGTCCCAACCTTACGTCACTGGAGTGCAAGGGCTTTGTATAATGTCGGTTAACTAAAAGGATATATATATATATATATATATATAATATATATATATATATATATATATATATATATATATATATATATATATATATATATTACGGCTGTACCTAATATTCGCTTCGTATTCGCTTCGGGGCCGAATAGTAAACCTATTGACTATTCGGTATTCGGCCGAATAGTTGCGGTCAAGCCGAATACGAATAGTAGTTACCTTACACCCACTTCTGCATACACGGCCTTAATGCTGACAACATGGAACGATTGGTGTTGTTAAAAGCTTATGCAGCTTTCATGCATTAACTAAGCTGTCAGTGACAATTTCGAAGTTTAGTTACCTGTTATAATACTAAGGATTCTTTCATTCCTAGTTATTAGTTACCACAGACTGACTGAAGGATGCAAAACATAACATGTTTTTAAATGTTTACTATTCTGTACGAATGCTAACTAGACATGGAGAGAATATAAACTCCGGCCACATCCAAGTCGATAATATGAAAATCAAACGAACGGAAACATATATACTTGCGTGCAAACTTCATCTGCTCCAACATGCTGAAAGAAGAAATACAACCTAGAAAACAACCTAGAAAAAAAAATTATACTATGCCCTTTAACATCTGCTTAAGTCAAAGTGTCTGTCTCGCAACATCAAGATCAAAATATATCAAGATCTTGATAAGGCTAGTCGTTTTATATGGCTGTGAAACTTAAAGCAGAAATAAAAGAGATAAGGCCTTTTTACAGATTTTCGAAAACAGTCTTAAGACAAATCTTTGGACCCATCAAAGATGCTAATAGCGGGGAATGGAGAGTGAGGAGGAACAACGTAACACATAATTTGTTTAAATCACCATTGATCACTGGCATCATGAGAGCTAACAGACTAAAATAGTTGGGGTATTTTGAAAGATTGTTAGATGACAGAGAAGTAAAACTGTATACACCTGAGAGAGGAATGGGCGTAGTCCACGAGGCAGACAAAAAAGAAGTTGGAGAGATAATGTCCAGCCAGACCTGCAAACAACTGGTATTAAAAATTGTGAAGAGAAGGCCAGCCAGAGAGATTAATGGAGACGAGTGATATATGCAGCAGTAAACCTCAAGGGCTCAGAATGCTAAAGAAGAAGATGACTATTCTGTGCTACTTTATGTGAAGTAAAAGTTCAGCGTACATTTGACATTATCAATTAGTTTTTTTTTTTTTTTTTTTTTTTTTTTGCTTTAAATATATTTTATAGACTATACACTATTCGTATTCGTATTCGGCCGAATAGTTGGTCTCGTTATTCGTTTTCGGCCAAATAGTGAAAAACACTATTCGGTACAGCCCTAATATATATATATATATATATATATATATATATATATATATATATATATATATATATATATATATATATATATATATATATATATATATAAGCAATCTCTTGCACACTTTAACCCACTATTTGCTCAAAACGAAGTTACAGTTTAATGCTCTTTATTATCGGTTTATGTTTTCAGTCAGACCCACCGGCGAATCCCAAACTGCCAAGTGGATCCGAACAGCAAATGTTTGCGAGAGCAAAGATCAGTTTTGGAGGATACAACGAAGACCACCTTGTCGACGGTGTTGTCAGTGTTATCAGAGTGACCCCCTTCTGTATCCTGGTGATTATGTACTGGGCTCTGTATTCACAGGTAGGTTAACGTAATAGTTAGTGATAAAAGTACGGGGGAGACGAAAAGATAAGTGCATATGACACAGATGAATCAGAAACACATATGTAGTTCGTGAAGATGGTGATCGTTTGTGATAAGGAAATGTCTAAAGAAATTGCTTGACATGTATGATACGGGTGAAACAAGAAAACTATATTCGGTGCTTTATTAATGTCCTACCCCAAACAGGGGAAATCCAAAGTTCACGGGACAGCCTAATATTTCAAGGGGTGTTAGATAGGCTGCATGCAGTTGTGGGACCTAGACTTAATGCAGTTGTGGGACCTAGACTGCATGCAGTTGTGGGACCTAGGCTGGACTCTCTCGCGGGACGCAGGTGGGTTAGGGTTAGCGCCAGTACTAGATGTTTTGGGTTAATTAAAAGTATCAGAAAGTCGAAAAGCCCAGTTTTACCACCGTCTAAAATGTTGGACTGTCCTGTGACGTTATCTGGGGTAGGATAATAATAAAGCACCCAAACATCGTTCGTGGTCATGGTGATCATTTTTTTTTTTTTTTTACGTATCCAGAAACCATGAGTTGTTAACCCTTTGGCTCGGTACTATGGATATCGCAACCCTTCGGCATTGATTCCATTATAGGTACCGTTAATCTGGGAGAAATGTGGCTTTTCTGCCTACCCCCTGGAGTGAACCCGGACCTCAAGGAGTTCGTCACGCGGCCGCCGCGAAAGTCAGGTTTAACCAACTTCGCTAGAGAGCCGGGCATGGTGATCGTTTAAATGCCCAACAAAACTGCTAAACAATGGATGGGATAAATTAAAAACCCGTAGCATAAACATATACAAAATTGTGATAAACAAAAACAAGATATCAAGACCTGACTGTTAAGTGGCAATGGCAAACTCCTGAACGTGAAACTGACTAGTAAAACTAGACAGCCAAAACATGCGGGGGTTGCTTCTGCAAAGTCCTGTAAAGGATACGCAGCCAACTAACTTAGATCTGGCAAAGATTTATGGACAAGATATTTATGATAAAAATCATTTCGGTCATTTAGCTAATCATGTTAAATTTTGGTCCTAGTTTAATATAACTACATAGTTATTAAAGAGAGCTGCACCAAAGCAGTAGCGCAACGCTCGCCTGTTGGCCAGAAGATCATTGGCTGGAATCTTCTCAATATTGACCTTGACTAGCAGGTAGACCCAACCTAATATATGTGCAAGATAAAATTATGATTAGTATAGACTGTGGGCGTGGTGTTGACAATAAAGTAAGTAAAAGTAAAGTAAAATAAAGATCCCTTTACACCCCCTTAGGCGAACGGGCATATGGAAAGAGTACCCATATTTTGCAGACCAATCATCACTCTGTGGGTAATGGGGTCATAATTACGCTGGCCGTCTTTACCTTCCCAGGACAGCCCATCCTGGTACCTATTTGAGGCTGAGTCGACCTGCGACGTCCCATACCACGATACAAATCCATGCAGCCCGCAGTGGGTTTCGACCTCGGTACGTTGGATTACGAGCGTGGTGTTAACCAGTTGTTCTAAGAAGAAAAATTTATTTGTCTTGTATCTTGTACGTTTGTGTTACTGATATTACTTTTCATTAGCATTGTTATTGCCCCCTCAGATGTCTAACACCTTCTTCGCGCAGTCAGAGCGGATGGATGTTCGCATGGGAGATGACTTCAGTATGCCAGCAGCTGCTCTGAATATCTTCGACACCATCTGCATTATTGTGCTCATCCCTTTCGTCGATTTTCTGTTGTACCCTTGTTTTGAGAAGATGGGAAGGCCGTTGACATATCTTAAGAGAATAGGTAATATTTAATTTGGAACTACTCATTCGTTTGGTTTAGCTGACCAACTAGAATATATGATTTTGGTTAGCCCGCTGATAACTATTTTTTTTCCTTGTTAGGCAACAGAGATATTCTAAATCTTAGACGAAACTTAATTAGCCATCTTTTTCTCTGTGAGAAATGAAAATGTTAATCGTTTGCCATTTAGCACATTATTATTATATTATTAATATTGAACAGTTAAATAAGGCTTTCGTCCGTCTAGCTCAGTGAACTCCAACCCTAATCAAGTAACGCCCCGTTCCCCCTCCCATGAGTATATGGCAAGATCCCTATTCACGCTTGGGTATATAGCAAGACCTTTACCCCCCCCCCCCCCCACACCCTCCACCCTCCAACAGTATATTACAAGAGCTGCTCTGTTATCATAACAAAATGTGATCAACAAAATGAGGATAGTAAATTCTGCATCAAGTTAAACAGACTTTATAGAGATAAGTTTTGGTCAGAACGTGTCCTTAATTTATAATTAGGTTCGCGTGTTATCACACTAATTAGATTTCTAGCGGTAGATTTGCAAACTGCTTATGAAAACAGAAATGACCAAGTCGATCTGTTCAATAAGTAGTTTTAAAAATATTGTATTTGTAATGAAACTACAACAAGATGTTTGTATAACAGATTATTACAAGTACAAATGTACTAACTTTCAAAATTTCTTGACACCCCTTGCCCCTTGCAACCACCCCCCCCCTCCGCCCCCCCCCCCCCCCCCCCCCCCCCATCTTCGTATGGGCATAACATACCTCCAGGTTGGGAATCACTGATCTAGTTCCTGAACACTCCTGAAACACTCCTGATAATCTATAATTTTTTAAAAGACCCCCCCCCCCCCCCCTTTCCCCCCCCCCCCACTTTAAGTTTTCTTTGTGTCGTGACTCCTGGGCTCAGATGCAGTATATATTTATGAGTATAAAAATATAAATCTGATCCTAATGTATTTCCAGGTATAGGGCTGCTCCTGGCCATGCTGGGCGTTATCATAGCTGGAGTCGTAGAGATTTACAGGAAAAAAGACTTAGAGATGCATCCAATATCCCAAGTATTGGCCGGAGAAAACTTCACAGCCTCCAGTATGTCAGTGTTCGTTCAAGTGCCACAGTTTGCGCTGATCGGTGCCAGCGAGATTTTTACCAGTGTCACTAGTAAGTACATCGTTTAATTGCTTAATTAAAGGGCAGATGGGGCGCATGAGATTTCATTGAATTGTCAAGTATTCTATACGGCCCGGTTTCTGTTGTCCTAAAGCAGCTGTTTTCCGAAACACTTCTACTAGGGGACTGACGGAGGAGGCGAAGTTTTCACAATCTGTGCACGAGACTATTTTTTGGCCAGAACTGTGCCATTAGTGTCAAACTTAGACACTTACATCCTCCAATAAATGTAAAATTGTGACAACAGAGATGAAATTTCTGAGAAGACCTGCAGTAGTTTCAACGAAAGACATAATACGAAATCACGAATTTGGACGAATGCTGGCAATAAAGCAAGTCTTACAGGTCATTGAAGAATAACAAATGAGTTGGTCTGGACACCTAGCAAGAATTCCTGGTTCTATTTGCCACAGCGAGCCAAACTAAAACCTTACAACGGGTATAGGGCGAGTGGAAGACATTGGAAGATATGGAGTAATGGCATTGAAAACAGCCTTACAGAAAGTAACATCTGTCTTAATAGTGCTCTTGACAGAGCTCATCAACGAATGTTACATCTCCCCCCGACACTTCGATGAGATACAAGATGGAAGATAAGAAGAAAAAAAAGAATATGTGAACAAGATAAAAGGCTTAACTACTTTATCATGGGGGGGGGGGGGGGGGGGGGGGGGGGGGGGGGGGCAGAGTATCAGTAATAGTTTGTCGTTTATGGGCTGACTTTTAATTACTCCTATAAGTTACTTCTTATTGTGTATTATTCTTGTTATGAATAGGTCCCCAAAAGCTCCTATGTTTAATGAACCCTTCGTTTTCTCTTCTTACTTAACTCAGTGCATTGCTGGAGGAGGGGAAGGTGCTGCAGGGGTCGTTGGAGTACTTTTTTTTTGTTAGAGGTGTGAATTAGTCTACATTTCTCTGAGGTTAAATCTGAGCTGTAGTTCCTTCTGCCGGGTGATTTTTCCCTATCTATGTGTTTACTTTATGTCTTCGTCGTATCTGGTACCAGGACATACTCTTTAGAGTACCAAACCTCTTTAATTAATTTGTGACTGGTTTTATTCAAAGACTTTGTGACTGGTTTTATTCAAAGACTTTGTGACTGGTTTTATTCAAAGACTTTGTGACTGGTTTTATTCAAAGACTTTGTGACTGGTTTTATTCAAAGACTTTGTGACTGGTTTTATTCAAAGACTTTGTGACTGGTTTTATTCAAAGACTTTGTGACTGGTTTTATTCAAAGACTTTGCGACTGGTTTTTTTTCGAAGACTTTGTGACTGGTTTTATTCAAAGTCTTTGTGACTGGTTTTATTCAAAGACTTTGTGACTGGTTTTATTCAAAGTCTTTGTGACTGGTTTTATTCAAAGACTTTGTGACTATTTTTTTTTCAAAGTCTTCTTCTATTTGTTCTTCTTTTAGTGTATCTATTTTTGTTACCCAGAAGTGTCTGTTGAGATTTCTCGTTTCTGTTGTTATGAGATTGTGCTCAATGTTGGTAATAAATAACACACGTAAGACAACTGTATCATTAAATCGGACAAAATTACGAAATATAGCCGTCTTCAAAAAGCACAATTAGTCAACATTATAATCTTTTTTTTTTTTTTTTGCGGCTAATATCTTACGTTCAGAAATCAATTAGAATGAACAGTTTATATATATATATATATATATATATATATATATATATATATATATATATATATATATATATATATATATATATATACACGCACGCATGCTGCGTCGAATATATACATGGCGTGATATCACTAAGATGATAATTGTGGGGTGGGGGTGTTAGCGCCCCAACTGCATGGAGGTTAAGGGGTCTAAGGACTAGCAAATTTGTAGGGCGGGGGTAGGGGCACTGCTTCACTCCCCCCCCCCCCTCCAATCCCGTGCTGTCTCTAGTTTTATTTCTTTTTTAATGTACCAGACCGATGTATCGCTTCTGCGGTAATTTCCTAACCTGCCTCTAAGCCGCTGTACCTTATTGTCGGTACTTTACGTACTTTAGCATTTAGTAGTTTTGACCAATATTTTAAGTGATCGTTTTGTGAGACCATTAAATTCGAATCTACCGAACACACACACACTCTCTCTCTCTCTCTCTCTCTCTCTCTCTCTCTCTCTCTCTCTCTCTCTCTCTCTCTCTCTTAATATGTCTCTCTCTGTCTCTTTTTCACACACATTCACATACACCATACAAACACACTTACTAACACATGCAAACACACACAAAAAACAGTATTAACAATTAAATAATAATGGTAAAGCTGAGAGAAGAAATGCAATCTAGAATACAATCTGGAAATGACGTAAACTTAGCCCTTTAACATCTGCTAAAGTCAAAGTGTCTGTCTCGCAACGCCAACATCAAAATATATAAAACTTTGAAAAGACCGGTCGTTTTATATGGCTCTGAAACTTAGAGCACAATTAAAAGTGATGAAGCCTTATTCGTCTTACGACGAATCTTTGGACCCATCAAAGATGCAAACAGCGGGGAAAGGAGAGTGAGAATCAACAACGAAATTCATAATCTGTTAAAATCACCATTGATAACTGGCATCATGAGAGCTAGTAGTAATGAATCTAGTAATGAACCTCAAAGGCTCGGAATGCTGAAGATGAAGAAGAGTAATACTTTACAAAAACGTTACAGTTTTTAAAAGCAGGCAAAGCGCTTTCTATGTGCTTGAGATTGTTAAGTATAAGCAAATTATCATTTCCATGCTTATCACTTCTAATTCTTCTAATTCTTACCAATTTATCTACCCACTTCTTGAAAACGTCTTATATTTCTTCTCTTGTAATATACATTTATAATCATGATTGTTATTTATACATCAACAGCCCTTGAATTCGCATACAATCAGGCCCCTGTCTCCATGCAAGGTTTGCTCACTGGACTCTTTCTGGCTGCATCTGGGTTCGGCAGCTGGGTCTCCTCAGCTATACTGGCAATAGTAGAAAAGGCCTCAGAAGAACGTAAGATTCAGACATGTTTTAATGTGTAATTTACAATTGAAGTTACTCATGTATGTGCACAGAATGTAGTAATGAAAATGAAGAAATATCGGCCTGAGAAAATCTTTCTCAGTAAGAAACCGTAGATACAGAACATTTAGACTGACAGTACAATTTTGCTTTGAACTCCTGCGCTTTCTTCGGCTGTTCTTTGTCCATGGTTGGAGTATAATCCTCAGTCAACTCATGCGGGGATATTCTGTTAACAGACGTCACCGGCAGATCCTTCCGAGTCTGCCCCAATATTATTGATCACTCTAGATATTTCCTTTTTGTGTGTGTGTGTGTTTTTAGAGTTTTCATGTTTAAATTCTACCCCTGCGGATTTGCATTCTGCGGGATTAGCATACCAGCGATGAGAATAAGACAGGTGTAACTTCCAGAAACCTAGTTCAGCTATATAGTACTGTTATATTTGGCCATCGCAAAAGGTTCACAAAGTAACATGCAGTCCAGAGTGGGTGGGCTTTTTGTGACAAGGATTTTTAGATCTCCCGGCATCTCTTTTTTATCCTGTTTCTCCCCTCCCCCTCCCCTCTCTCTCGCTCCCTCTTTCCTTCTCGCTCTCTCTCTCTCTCTTCCCTCTCTCTGTTTGTCATATCCAGCATCAGTATGATCCTCACCTCAGGTTAACTGGAATTGGTTACTTCTTTCCAAAAGCTTCAGATTAGTGATTCTGTCATACCATTTTGATTTGTGTGTTCTGCTTAGGCACCAGGTAATGAACATTTGCAGTAGATTTTTATCAGTGATTGTTATGCCACATGATGATTATTATGTTTTGTTTCCAGTATCTGAATGTCAGTTCGCAATTCAACCTAACTTTACCACCACAAAATTACATCATGATTATTGTACACGTGAATACACAAGGATCAACGAGACCCAGGGATGTAGTTGTCTGATCTTGTTAGGTGCTGGCTTGTTAGTTTCCACAAAACGCTGCTGTTATGAGGGACTTTTATTCAGTGTTTCTTTTTTATACTCGTAGATCCCTGGTGGAGTGATGAGATTAACGACTGCAAAATGGAGTACTTGTTATTTCTTCTCGGAGGAATAATGTTTATCAACTTCCTCATCTTCTGTGTGATAGCTCACTTCTACAAATATCAAGACCCAGCAACATTTGAAAAAACTGTCAATGAAGATAGTACAGAAGATGACAAGGACGTGCAGGTTCACCAAATTAATGGCAACTCGAATCATTTCAAATTAGCAGAGCTACCACATGATTATACACAGGAGCAGTATGACCGAAATCATTAGCAGGATAATGGAGTTTGAAACATGTTTGGCTTTTTTCTATTGTATGCTTGAAAGAGGTTACTGTCATAAGAAGAGGATTTCTTTCTCCCCCCCCCCCCCTCCACCCACCCCCCTTTTTTTCTATTGTCAGTATATGGTTTGTACTGCTTTGCAGTTATTACTTATCAGATACATGTACTGTGTATGCGGGAACAACCATGATGAAGCGGTTAGACGCTAACCTGCGAATCCCAAGGTCGTGGGTTCAAATTCGGAAGATGCTGGACTTTTGGGTACCAGGCAAAATTCATGGGAAGTAAAGGCAACCAGCCAATTGGTCTATAAAATATCTGTCAAACCCTATGTGCCCTATACGTCTGAAGGCGTAAAAGAGCGCCCTTCATTTTATGTATTGTTTTCAGTGAAGGTGGAGGATTGAAAGGGATAAGGTTAGAAAGACATAAACGCAATATTTGACCAATATTTGTTAGATTAGATTCTCTTTTTTGTTTCTAAAAAGTGCTAGGGCAAACAAGAAGAGATTGAGTCAATAACTAAGAATAAGGAATAATGAACGTTAGTAATAGACAGTTCCAGCTAATGATTACACAGAACATCACAGAATCAATTGTTTCGTTATCTGGATAACACTAAACAAAATCAGCAGGCAGCTGGAGAGAACTGCATGAGAACTGCTGGGAGCTGACCAAGAATGAGATTTGAATTTGCGAGAAGAAATTGTTTCCATGTTCTGACTTGAATCACGTTATTAGTGTGTTTTCTATCAGTGTAAGAGGGGTGACCAGTCGTGCTCTTTGTCGTTGTTTTGTCTGATAGTTTTTCTTGATTTTAAAAACGGTTTCTAGAGCAGTTTTGTGAGCCCTTTAAATCCACTGCCAGTTTGATAGACCCACATCAACTTGAACCTTACAGGAATAAGTAAAATACCATTTTCTACGCCTTTAAGGGTATTGGGAACATAGGGCTAGACCTTTATTTGTATAGACCAATCAGCACTTAGTGGGTGATGTGGTCGACATTACGCCGGCCTTACAGAAATGCTGAATTATGTTTAGTAATCAGATCCAAAAAAAGGAAAAAAAAACACACATCTATTGCGATTATACAGACGTGGTCGTCTTTGTGCACTTCTGTGTTAAATGTATAATTTTGTTTTTTTTTTTGGGAGGGGGGAAAGGGGGGGGGGGGGGGGTCATTTGTGTAAATAGTTTTGTTTTTTGTTTTTCACGTGCTGTGTATTGTTACTTGCGCTGACATAGACCATATGCTTGAATGGGGGGGGGGGGGGGGGGGGGTATTATGTTCAGCTCTCTCCCTGTTGTTTCTTTAAAGTTTATCTCAGTGACCCTATTCTGCCTGTAACGTTGCTTGTTACCTACGCCACTAACAAAAGAGATCCTGTTAATCCGAAATAAGAGTTTACTGCATGTGCGGTATTAATGTAGGGATTTGACATATTATTTGTATCGGTTGGTTTCATGACTAGAGAAGCACATATTTCGACGTCTAAACCTGTGTTCATATTTAGACCACATGGTTCCAAGCTATAAAAAGAAATTGTGTAGCTAACAAGAGACATTGAAAACAAGAAATCAAAAAAAAAAATTTTTCTCTGTGTATGCTCCATCATCTGTAGTCAAAAAGGGAGTATAAACAGCTGACCAAATTAGGATGTTGGAAACTGCAATATAATATAAGAAAAAAAAAAACGGCTTACATTCTAAAAAGAGTTAAAAGTGAGGGACTATTTCTAAACTGCAATGGCACATTGGGAGTATGATTTAGATGTTATTAGCACCACGCAGGCCTCCTTTACTTTCCAGTACATTATCTGGCTACTTTTATAGGCTGGATCTGTTGGAAGCCAATTTTTTTTTTTTTTTGGGGTGGGGCGGGGGTAGGGGAACCCACGTCATGCTGACTCGAATCAAAAACCTTAGGGCTAGATGCGAGCTCTTAGCTGCAACGCTACCGGGGTTCCTGAAAGAAAAAGTAAATACTATATAATTGTTTATTTGTGTGTCTAGGCACGTGATATCACATAAACAAATAACAGAACAGGACCGACCAAACTACATTTTATAAAAAAAAAAAAAAAAAAAGAAACCTGTATGCATTAAATCCATGCCATACCTTGACAGGCATGGAAAAAATTTCTAAAATGCTAAATAGAGGCAGTTTTAACATATGTGCAACCTGGACAATTAATAAATAATCAAAAAAAATGTCTTAAGGTCTCGAAAATGTGGTTTTTCTAGAAGAATCCAAACATTCTATGGACAGCCAAAAAGAACAACCATGATGTTTTGAAAGAGACTCGAAGAAAACTTACCACAAGCATCAGAAAGATTTTCATCATTGTTTGGTCATGTAATGAGAAGAAGGAAACTGGAAAAAGTTGTGACCACTGGAAAGATCTGTGGAAAGAGAGACAGAGGAAGACAACGCGTGAAGATTCTTGACAGCCTTTTGGCATTGATGGAGGGGTGTCAACACACGAACTGATACATGCCGTTGCAGATCGCAGATTGCAGAGGGGCAGGATGGTCCAGGTCAGTCAGCAAGGCACTTGATGATGATGATGAAGTGAAAAGGATGACGACGACGATGATGATGATGATATATTTGTGAGTGCTGTCTCTACAATGAGAGTTGGCTACAGAAGTAATGTGTAGCCACTTCTGTCTTTGGAACTGAGAATAATCATTGAGAATACTATGGAATAAGGTCCGACGATGATGGTACGATTATTATCTGAAAGCTACAAGCATCATGTTTTTTTTTTAAAATCACCTGCTGCGGTTTTCTAACAGTGATACGTTGAGCAAGTATAGCTGTATAATAAATGTCAGTGACATATTTTATGTGGCGAAGACAGATAAACACATAGAGACTGAATAATTTGAATGTCAAACAATATACACACAACGCATGTGACCGAAAGGAGAACACAATAATCTTCGTCTTCTTCTTTTGCGTTCGTTCTTTAAAGGGCTGTTGGCACTTCGTGATGTGGTTTATCGCTAGTCTTTCTGCTTAACAATTCTGATTTTAGTAAACCTCTATTTAGTCGCCTTTTTCGACCCGCTTGTTAGGGAGCAGTGCATCTGCTAATATGTATCCCAGAACGAGCTCCGTGAACCCACACGAGGAGAACCGACATATCTCTCTGATAAGAACCCAGTACTGAAAAATGAATGTTTTTCAAGATGATAAATTTGATTTACGACCAAGTACCATATACTCGTCGGCTCTGTGGCTTAGTCGATGCGAACGCTTTCTAATGCCAGGGTGCCGGGTTCGATCCCAGCTGCAGGCCATCCACCTTGCGTTGGTTTCGACAGTGGTATCAGGAGGCCGACCGTCCAGTAGATATCGCAAACTACTGGACGTAAATTTGCCT